GCGTGCCTATCTAATTCTCATATGTATAAATTGTGTTTTTCAGTTTCGTACATCTTGCGCGGATGAATAAGATAAGGAGGAAGCACTTAGCCTCACTCTTATAAGGTAAATAGTTTACTTCTAATGACTTTTCGACCACGTAAAAAAACATCTGCCACACTCCTTGGACTAAGACGAATGAAATAACACCCTCGCATATTGTATAATCCTTTGTGTCTGTGAATCCAAGATTGGAATTTGATTAAATTCAAATTTAATAATGATGAACAAATGGCATTGCCCATGGATTGCAAGTTCGCATCGATCTCGTTAAACTATTTGTAATCAGGGCGGGAAATTTTAGGCGCAAAATTTGGAACGCGTCAGAGAGCTAAATTTATACTGAAAAATATCACGGTGGAATCGTAATGTGTCCCAAACTTCTTTGATAATACGACTACAATGGTTATTGATTTTTCAAGTCATCTTCGAGTTGCGCGACATCGCAGCTGTTCACCAGCAAAAGTTTTTCAAAGTTTACAAACTTACTGTTACAAATATAGAGGTAAATTTACCAATTGGCACAAAGTATTTTCGGATAAATTAACCTACTATGTTTTTTTCTTTTACTATTCTAATAAAATTACCCAATTTTTGAATTTGAAACAAAATCAGCAGCATTACATTTGCATCTCATTAAAGTTAATCAAATCGTTATTTTTACTCCCTTCGAAGATATCGTTTATCGAAAATGATGCTTTTTAATTTTTAAATCTCTTCGAAAATGGCACTCTATTCATTTTCAACGTCAATAACACTTATGTACGAGCAATAACTAAAAAAGAAATCAACGAGACCAAAAAAGCTCGCTAGCTCTATCGGTCCGACGAGTATTTCCAACAAGTGGCGCGCATCGTGGCCTGGCACCGAGAGTGAGCGAGATCGCGTCGTCAAAGTTTATCATTGCTATTGTACACGATATGCGCTCTCCTCGACGTTTCAAGAGCACACGAGGTCCTAAAGGGGAGGAAAAGTAAGTTTACCTATGCATGAAGTTAATGTGCGCGATAATATATCATGTGCACCACTTCCCGGAGAGCTCCTTAAAATGAATATGTACGATAAACAATTGAGTATGTATAAGTACGTACGCGAGGTACAACTATTCAGCTGCTCTCCTTCATGCACAGACATTGTTTCAAGCAGCAGATGTGTATATGGAACGTATACATTGTGTAAGCGAAAGACGTTGTCTGGCGTATACGTATGTGCATAGAGGCTGTCATGGCTCCAAATACTCGCGCACAGGTACCCACCTACATCTACGTGTATGTACGCCAGTGCATGGGAGCCGTGTGCAGTGCACGAACATCAAAGGACCGGAGCGCGCGAGAGAGTAGCGTCGTGCACTTTGCGATAATTAAATTTTTCTCGAGCATAATTAAATTTGCCAAGCTGAGTTTAATATTAATTTCTAAGGGACCCAAGAGCAATGTCATTCCGGGTAAGGCGTAGAGAGTTGGCTTTACAATGTTATACGTTACAAAAAAAAGAAGGAATCCGTTGCGTCAATTGAGCCGACGCGAAGAGCTGCGTATGTCTGCCTCGCGAAAGGCTGCGCGACTCCGGTGGAAATGAACATGTAATTGTTGCAACATAAACTTCTATTTATGAGACATTTTTAAAACAATCAATTAAATTATTTTGTCCGCGAATTAAAGTTGTCATATCTGAGACAAAGGTAGCGATATATTGGAAACATGGGACTTTGATAAGAAAATTAGATTTGACATTGCGAAAATTTATCTAAATGTGCAATTAACAATAAAATTTCGATGAAACTGTACGACGTTAGTTGTCTGTTTCTCATAACCGAGTACATAATGATATTAAGAAATTTAGCTCGAGGACAAATATCCACCTTTGAAAATGTTAAATGCTTACATTTCCCTTACAATTCGCATACATTATAACTCATCTTCGTTACTCCAATGACAAATTTTATTTAATTTGAAATCATCACTAATTTGAGACAGAACTTTGCCTCTTTCCATAAGAATTGCAGAAAAATGATAATTAATTTTAATTGTCTACGCTTTCTGAACGGCTTAATTGAAAACAAATTATATTAGCATAATATTTAACCGCAAGACATTGATTTCGCCACTAATCAAATCAAAATCACTCGACGTGCATATAATCTTATAATTACTAAGATATAAATTATTCAATGTAAACAGAAGTGAGGGAAGGGGGTTGGGAAGGAGTGAAATTTTCTTCGAGCCTCGGCTTTATGTACTTACCCGCGCGCAACTTATCGTCGTCAAGCGTGTACACCGTTATTGCGTGTTAATGAAAGCCCTCGAGATCATGCGAGCGCGATATTAATGAAAAAAAAGGAGGGAAAAAAAGTATAGAAAAAATCACAATAATTACACTTAATCGCCGCTCGTCGAGGCGTGCTCGCACGCCGTAGTCACATAATGAGCGAAAAACGTTGGGCACTGCAGCGAAATACATCGCTAATTTTCTAGTCAACTCGTGTATACGTATACAACGACGAAAAGCTTGCTCGTAAAGTAACCCTTGCATTAAACGTTCGGAGGTCACACGAGCTTTTGCTTCTCTCTTTCCCTTTCCCTCTCTCTCTCTTTCTTTCTTACACACTCTCCCGTTCTTCATCAATCACTGCGTAGCCGGCGCGCAAGCAGTGCACACGCTGTGCTGCACCCTTTTTCATCTTGCCCATTGGCGCGCACCTTACATGTACATGAAAAAAAAGGAAAAAAAAGTCGAGAAAATGTAAAACTTTCATTCGCGTACATGTGCGTATTATGTACATATGCGCGGGAAATAGTCCCGAGCTTAATACAAGCTCTGCAGTGCCGTACAAAATAGTTGATCGCGTGCTGGGCTCGAATTACCCGGTGTGTATAACATGCGGCGCGCGAACCTGTCACGCACTCCACCTACAGACGCGCGCACACATACCCGGCTGTTCACTAGATGCCAATGGATAATAGCTCGCCGCTGCGATCGCGCCGGAAAATGCGCGTGTAAATGCCCTCGCGCAGATGGTTCGGTGCAAAAATCCTGGAGCGCCCGAGATCGATTCCGAAACACCCGACACGATGATCGTTCTATATATCGGGGCGAGCGCGCGCGAGCAGAGCCAGAATTGGGTTTCGTAAAAGCTCAATAAAGAGCTTGCAGACACGCGTGCGAGTATGGTATTTCAAATACGTGCGAGACTCTCTTGACCTACGTGTGGACGCGAGATTTTCGAGGACGCGCGCGGTCAATGCATTTTCTCCGAATTGCGTACACGACTCTATTTGCCCAGTGTCGAAATTGTCGAGATTTCATTGCGCAAAGTATAATTTCGTTTCGGAAATGCGCTAGCGCGCCAGAAAAAATTAAATTTCAAAATTTCAATGCTGCTGCACCCAACAACTCCAAAAGCCGAACACCCGTGTATATAACCCGGAAACGTCGGCTCTTAGAAGCGACTACATGTCCTAACTGTGTCAAATTCAGGTTGCAATTATTGCGTCGTTGCCGTCGTAAGCAAGTTTTTATCGAGCAAAAACGTAGTATACTCCCTGACACTGCAACAAGTTATGTAACTGTATACGCGTACGCAGCTCACGGCGTATACACTCCAAGCAGCGGGCTATATATTTTCATAAAGCTGTACATACGCACACACAGGTATGCAGGCGATGTACACGCGCGGGGCCTCTCGAGTACTATGTTTTCATTAAAGATGCACGTACGTGTGTTGCGCATGTATCTATAGACCATCGCACGAGCGAGTATGAGTGTCCGGTCTTTATGCATTCACGGGGATATCCATGCCTCGCGCGTCCGTGTAACGCACATCGCTTTGGCTTCTTCGTACACACATACGTGCATACGCTAGTGCCCTATAAAGTCCATAACAAAAGACTTGCACCTATACACACACACACACACACACACACTCGGTGTACTTTGCCGCACGTGCTGAAGTCCTCTCGAAGCATATAGGCGGCTGAAAAAAGCTACCCCCGTAAGTAATAGACTTAGATCAGCGCAGAGCAGCGGCAAAATAGAGGGTAAGGAATAATACATTTGTATATTGTACGTGAGCGAGGCGCGGGTGTAAGCTCGGCTGTAATAGAGTATAGCTAGAGGTACAAAGTAAAATATCGAAAAATATCGACTGACTCTCGAAGTGACACTGGAACTGGTGGCGATGATGCAAGGGCTGATCCAGATATCCGCAAGGTGCGTGGAAGGGTCAAAGTGCAAAAGACTTTTACGCTAGGATAAGCGATTATTGGACTGGTCTAACTGAAAGATGACACACCCCTCGGCATCTTGCCCACTGACTTCGTTCACGTAATATAATTCTTACTTGCTCTGTATGTATCAGCGTGATGTTCGAATCGCGCGCGCGCACCTTCTGGTTTGAATTTTCGACGTCACCATTCAGAGAGTGAATTTTCCCTTTATATATGATCTCCAATCTAATGCAGTACGAGCGTGTACCGTACCTCATACAAGTTGCACTTGCCGTTCTATCAGCTATCGTATTAGATTGTAGTTTCCTTTTTTCCGAATCCGCGCCGCACGTACCGTATCGTTCGGAGTAGTAGCTGTTTCTTTTCAAGCGAAGTAAAAAAAAAAAACATTTACAAGCCGCGGCTCCCGACGTCAAAGAGGCATGACACGGCTGAAAAAGGAGAAAGAGCAAGTTTTATTGAAAATCAGCGATGCATATATACGCTGTATGTATGGAAGAGGAAAGTATAGATTCGTTTGCACACCGAATCGCGGATATATAACTGCAGCGAGCTGCGGTGCCGTGAAATGTTTCAATACTTTTTTTGATTTACATTGATTCGTTGTTGCTTGCGATTCATGCCGTTGCCTCGAGTGCGTGTTATGTAAAGAATATTTTTGTCTCTGTTCATTTATTTATGATCTAGAGTTTATTGACAAAAAATATCTATCGATTATATATTTACACTACGCTTTGGTCAGCTATGCTGACACTACTAATCTTCATTTCACTGGACAAGTGTCAAATTTTATTTGACGTTGAAACGGCGATCGGGCATATAATACTGGTGTTAATGCCGAGCTCTATGCATCCTAAGTGTGCCGAGTTACCTCTCCGTCTTTATCTCTTTCTCTTTCGCAGATGTACTCGCACAGAGCCAGGCCGCAAATAAGTTAGTTAAAAGCTTGGGCGCGCGCGTTCGGGCTGCGGTGCGTTCACTCGTCAGGGCAACTTGGACGCGAGCCAGGGTAGCTTGCCGGTCTTCTTGTAGCAGTAGTAATCGTGGAGCAAGTTGCAGAGGAGCAGAAAAATCAGGCCACCAAGAAATACGTTAAGAATATCCAGCAGATGCACCCAGTAATCGTTTTTCATCGGCACGCAAATTTCCGTCCTCGATAATTCGCGAACCTGCAAGAGACGCGGTTGCATTATTATATCTATATTCCTCGGGCAATTGACTCTCGCAAAGCTGAGTCCGCACGAGAAAGAACGAAGAAGAAGAAGTAGTAGTAGCAGAGAAAAAAAAGAGAGTAAAGGAAAGGAAAATACTCGTCTTACCGGCTTGTCGGCGAATTCGGTGTTACCCGAGGCGCACCTTATGTCACTCGCGTCCTTCACCAGATCACCGTATTTTATCAGAAGCTCCTGGAATCCCGGCGTGAACTGGCAGTCGCAGCGCCACGGATTATCGCCCAGGTAGAGGCTTACCACGCTCTTGCTCGGCCAAACGCTCTCGAAGGCGTAAGTCGGGAACTGCAAGTATATAATACAATAAATTTGATCGCGTTACTTCCAATAATTTCCGATTTGTGTGCATTTGCTCTCTTCTTATTTTCTTTTCTTTTTCTGCTTTTTTTATGTACAGCTTACGTCGGTCATTCGATTGCCTCGAAGGCTGAGCACTTGAAAAGTCTCGAGCCAGTACGCGCCGTCGAGAAAAGCCAGAGTCTCCACTGTATTGTTGTCCATGTAGAGATGCACGACCTTTCTGTAGGCGGGATTAGTCTTCAGTGGAGTCAAATCGCTGATCTGCAATATTCGCAAAACGTATTATCGCCCGTGCTTGTGCAGCCATTTATTGCCCTGCGCGCTAAATATATATATCTCGGAGTCGCATCGTAAACCAAGTGCGCGCTGTATACGCTACGTACTCTGCAATATTGACTCAAACGTGATCGATCTCGAAGTGGGCATGAAGTATAGTATAGGTACGCGCTGCGTATATCTATACAGGTTGTACATACGTGCTCAGCAGGCAGAATCACGATGCATGTTTGTATTAACACGCTCGTACGAACTTGTTTGCTTCTCGAAATGCGTACATGTGCATAATATGCGTGTATTCACTGTATGGCTTATGTGTGCTATGTGTATATATGCATACCTTGTTGCCCTCGAGATGGAGGGTGGTCGTGTCAGCCGGCAGGAAAGCTGGCATATCGGTAAAACCGCGATGGCTGCAGTTGACAGTGGCAAAAGCCATGAACTGTCGCTGACGCGTCGGCGGCTGTTTCGGGCTTACGACGTACACGAGCTCGCACGAGCAGCCGGCAACCAACAGACGACACTCGCCTTCCAATCGCTTTATTTTTTCACCCCCAGACAGAGCCCATCAGCGTTAGTTATATTATTATGTGACTTTATTAATGCACCCATAAAAAAAATTACGGCAGCTAGGCACGCTCGCGTATTATAATTTTCATACGTACGCAGCGTTAATTTAATTATCGTACGTATGAGCGCGAGCCCAGCGCTCGAAAGCTCGCAATCGAGCTAATAAAGTCTGTCACTTGTATGGCAAAAAACAAAACAAAACAGGGAACGTCCGCGCAGTTGATTAAATTAGCCTGCGAGCGTATGCGCGCGTTCAAAAGTCTCGAACTTCTTGATTTTACACGAAAGAACACGTAACTCGAAAATATTACTCGAATTCGTAATTACTTTTGCGATTGAAGTCGAATTGGAGCTTCGTGCCGGGTGCTCGCGCGCTCATACGTGCTATTCGCTCTGCGCGTGTACCTATACCTGTGTACACGCGCGCGTTACTACCTGTATGACTTCCATAACTGGCAGGAGTGGTCGTCCTTTGTGCGGTTCGTGGCAACGCATCTCTTCCCTATCTACGATTCTCCGAACTAACGAGGCAAAAGTGGCGTTGCCGAACCAGGACGAGCTCAGATCGCATCTCCACTGATTACCTTTACACACATCAAACGCAAACCTGTACACATGTATGAACAATTCGTGCTGCATAAACGAAGTCGTGTTACGGACGAACGGGTGTCACGATTTGTCGCGTCCCTTTCAATGCTGGCACTTATATTTCCGCAAGTAGGATGAAAATTCCAAGCCTCACCTGTCAAGTAAAGATACTCCAATTGCGGCAGCTTGGTCAGGTCCGTAGGGTCGATCGTCGCTATGCTATTGTTTCGCAAATCCAGAGTCCGCAGAGCCGGAAGATTAGCAAAAGTCTTGTCCGTCAGCTGTCCCAGCTTTGTGCCCGTGATTTCAATGAGCTATTAGGCGCGTTATACGACGAGGTTAGTGAACATATATAGTCCTCTAATATATAAACTGCAGTGCACACACAGCGTGTGTGCGGATAGTTTAGCGAAACATCGGTATTAATTTGTTGTCCGAAATACAGCAGACTCGTTGAGCGACACCGAACCCGCACACACATACACGCGCGCATGCAACACACGTGCACGGCAACGTTTCTACGTAATTAAATTTAATGTGACCTTAATGGTCGACGCCACAAACAAGCCGTCGTCAATTGATTTTAACAATTTTCGAGTAGACGATTCACTTAGCGGAAATTATCATTTCAAAAGTCCGCAGGCAGTGCATTGGTCTAAATGTTAAGAGCCGTGCGCGCGAGCGTATGCATAATGAAAGAATTACGTGCTTCGAATTGTACCGCGTTTCGTTGCAGCGATCATTATGATTTTATAAAAATTTCAAAATTGCAGATTTAACCCGTGTAACGGAGTTCAATATTCATACGTACAGGCTGTTGCGGTCGGCTAATATACAGTGGAACAACAGCTTTGATTATTTAAAATAATACACACACACACACACACACACACACACACACACACACACACACACACACACACACACACACACACACACACACACACACACACACACACACACACACACACACACACACACACACACACACACACACACACACACACACACACACACACACACACACACACACACACACACACACACACACACACACACACACACACACACACACACACACACACACACACACACACACACACACACACACACACANACACACACACACACACACACACACACACACACACACAAGTGTCGTGCAAAGTAAATGGAATTACCTCGAGAAATTGAGCCGTTGCCGGGAAGGGCGTGAGAATTCTACTGAGATTTCCATTTTCAATGCTGAACCTACGCAGCCGAGAGATGGTGAAAAGAAGTCTCGTGGCATCGAGATTCTCATCTTGCCAGTCTTGAATTATCAACGCGACGATTGTCTGGGGACTAAAAAAATCATGCAATCAAAAAATTGTTGCTGAAAATAAATGCGGCTAGATTCTGATTTTAATCCTTGCTCCGTGCGCTGCTTGTACTCGACCCAGCGCGTGACGTTAATACTACCCAGCCAAATCGAATAAACAATTAATCGATTAAAAAAGCTTTCTGAAACTGACCTTATTGACGTATTAAAAAGAATGAAACATTTATAGATTGCAGCAAAAATTCGATGTATTCTGCCGGCGTTGTTTTTAATTAATTTTATTAGTATATCGCGAAAAATTAGGTCAACGTTATATTGGATGCTGCCTCATTATTGCACGCAAACTGCACACATATTAATATTATCAAAGGCCAGAAATTGATTAACTCTCGCCGTGGCTATTCATAGAAGAAGTTTATATAAACGTGTAAAAACTTCAGTAGCATCTCAACTAATAAACAACGTTTGCGTATAAATATTTATAGATCGTCCTGAACGAGCACTAGAGAAAAAAGGTACACATATCTAGCTATGTATAAGCTGATGTTATAAATTTACCTTTGCAAGTCCCACCACACATTTGGCGCGCCATAAAAACATAAAATTTCCGACATTGTGTTATTATCATCCTGACTGTTGTTTGACTCGGTGGAGGAGAAAAAACGAGCTTTGCATTGGAATTCCACGACAGTGTTTTCTTCATTGTCGTTTAGAACTATGGTCGCTGAAGCAAATCTGTGGAATATTTGAGGAGGAAACCTGAAGCTAAGGTAAAAATCAAATTCTGAAACTTTAACTAAATATTCCTCCAAAAAACTCTACGGCACTATACATAACATCAAAATGAAGGTGAAAAATCACACGTGAAAGGTGTTTAAAATTGATTAATTTTATAAAAGTTTTAAGAGATAAATTGAAAATTTGATTTAATCGGCTTCGAAGTTCTTTTATAATATTTGATTGCACAACGAACATCGATGCACATCTTATTATATCATAAAATTGCTTAATTAAAACAATAATATGATTTATGCATCATGTTTGAAGAGTTGATTTCTTGAAAATAAACGAAGTTTATTTCATCCGTTCAAAATACGGACAAAAAAAGAGCTAGATAGAAATTTTACTATTATCATAGAAAATACAAAACATGAACTATCCTGTGTATTTATCTTGCTAGAACACATAATAAGTGCACTATTTGACAAGTAAATAGATGCTGAGCTCGATGAAAATTTTTTTATGATTTTAGATGTTAAAATGATAGAAACGAGAAATTGTTTTTTTTTTGCTTTCAATTTACATGAAAAAAGAATAGGAGTTTATTTTTTAATATGCCTCATTTATTAAAGTTGTTTTGTTTTAATAGTGTTTTATGTGACTCATTAATAATTATTGAATAAAAAAATCGATATTATTACATTTTACTATAGTATATCTGACGCGGTAATCATACGTTAATTGGAAGCAGTCCAATCATGCATAATAACTGTAATTGTACTGTACGTATTAAGTACATGCAAAATATATGCACGTGAAATTTACCGAGCATCAAACGACTGATAAGATACGAGGATGCCTTCAGGTTCACAACATTTCGGTATTCCGAGCGATACAATCAATATTTAGTTTTTTCAAATTCTAATAAAAATATATTTCCTTTATTTTTTTTAAATTCAACACGTTGAAAAAGAATAATATGTATGCCATTAAGTGATCGAGTTATAATGAAGACGTTGAGCACAGAGTAATGATATTATTATTTGAATCATCTTATTTGTAAACTCACGGAAACAGTAATAAAAATAAGAGGACACTCGTCACCATATCCTTTACAATATTTTTCAGAGATCACATCTGACTCTTGCAACAGATGAACACAGAGATTCTTCTGCACACAAAGGCTAACTGACATGACAGATTTTCTGCGCAAACTGACGAGATGATTGTAGTATGGAGTAGAATATAACATGTATCAGTCGACTAACGTAACAACAAAAGCTAATAAAACTGTGCGCATAAGATTTGTTGACTTTTTGTGTTATTAAGTATACGGGTTAAATCTCAAAATTAACAATGTTATAATTATACATTTTATTAGAGAACTCTTTCAATATAGTTTATTGGTTTGATTTATAAAACTATGCGATTTTAAAAATGAAAATATCTTTTAAATATAGTGATTTATTTATTCAATCGTTTGTTCTTTTCATTTGCTTGTTCAACATATTTTTGTGAAGAAGCGTTTCATTTTAAGTTCACTTTCATTTAAAACAATATTATTTTATAATGTGAAAAAATAACTCATTCATCAATATTAATTTTTCTATACTTTTTTATACGATTTTGTTGTACGAAATTTGCTTTTAATTAATAATAGCAATTATTTGAAAGAAGATTTTGAAATTATATGAAAGTTGTGCAGAAAGCTGATCAGGTTGGTGGTGACATCTACATTTCATACGCGCAAAAATATCAAAATATACTGGCTGATGATAACTCTGTAATCTTTTTGTATTTCTATTTGTGCTCAATGGATTCTTGTGTCAATTTTATTTAGTCACTTCAAGTTCATAAAGAACATTAAATATTTTTCAGTGCATTTTCAAATTTTACATTTTTTAACCTATTAAGTCCCAACAGGGCGTTTTTTCAAAACTTTTCGGCCACTGTATTTTTGGTGTAAATAGAGTCAAAAAATATGCAAGTAACCAATTTTTTTATCTTAAAATTAAAGCCCTTTCAGAATCTATTAAGTAAATAATTATTATTCAATTTGAAACCCATAAATTTTTTTATTTTTAAAACGAACAGCTTGAGGAAAAAAGGTTATAGAACGAAAATTGCTTGTTGAAGAATTGGCTGAGATGGACGAGTTTTTCGAATTTACCCGAATTTTTCGGGCTTACCCGAGTTTTTTTAGTCGATTCAAAACATGAATTTAGTTTCAATCACATTCAACCGACTTTTATGAAAGATTTTTCGCTTTGACATCCACTCTATGTTTGAAAGTGTACTTGTAAAAAAATTTTATCTCGACTGAAGACTTTATCCATAGATTATGCCGAAAGAATGCGGTTAAATAGCCGAAAGTTATCAAAAATGTTTAGGGCATAATTATACTATCTACACCTCTCGTAAATGATGTTTTTCTCACATGGGTAACATTGCCATTGCTTCTAGAGCTCGCTTATTATTTTACATTAATATTTTTCAGTTGATTCTTAATGAAACTTTTTATAGATACTTTATTGACCTTACACTATATAAAAAAAATTTTCTATAATTTTTGGCCACCTAGTGACATCTGCTACAATTGCTTTAAAAGAACCCAAACAAAACCGCGGAGGGAACTGTTATATAACTGTTACTTTTGAGTATTAGGTAATAACTTTATTATTTTTTTAATGACATATTGTTTCTGTTGTTGACTGAGAAGGGAGGGAAAATGAAATGGAGTGTACAACGCTCAAGTGAGTTTTACACACAAGACTTTATTACAAAAACTTAATACTATTAAAACAAAGCTTACAAATCAGTTCGGCCGATTATTGTCAATCTTCTAGGCTTGTAGTGCCGTTGGGTCGCTGCGGGTAGGCTGCTGCTAGGATGTTGTTCTGCTGCTGCTTTGCCGTCGGTCGCGCCTACCTAGCTGGTGGCGGCGGCTATTGAGCTGACGGTCGCAGCTGCCTGGCTGATGGTGGCGAAGCTGCTACTTGTCCGTCGGGTAGACGGCTGGTGCAAGCACTCGCACGAGCTTTACTGTTCGCGAATACAATAAGTCACTTCGACGCTCGCGCTGTAAAATTACAATTACAAAAGCTAGTGCGCTGTTAATAACTTTCGATTGCTTCTCGCGCAATACACAGTGTTTAATTCGTAGATACTCGTCAAATATGTTTTATTACAAGTCCGTTTAACGTATTGCGGAGTCGCTATTACAATATTTCGATCGGTCGCGCACAGAGCTTCGCCTTACTCGACTGTATGAAATGATCTGCCCAAAGGCCTAATTTTTATGCTCATTATATACTAATTTAATCATGCATCTTTTGGCGGGGGCACGTCTTGGTTCTTTTCCACAAGTCGCAAACCTACAAGCTATTTCGTCACTTGTTGACTTGTTTTTCGCAAGTCAAAGATGTGCCTAATAATTATCTGGGATCAGAGACGTGCCTAATAATTATATAGGCATAGGTCGTAGGTCAAACTTTTGGTGATATGGGGCTTGCGAGTGCCAGTGCGATCTTGATTTTGCTCCTCTGCACCATTTCGAATTATTCCATGAATTTCGTCTCGCATGTGTGTGTTATGCCTTTTTTGTGTTCGGCTTGCACACACACGCGAGTACACATACGCGGTACACATACATGCGCGGGTTCAATCTAATGCGCCGGTGTGCGTTGGTCGCTTACATTCACACATACATTCACGCGACCGCTCTCGCCTGTCTCTGTGTTTGTTTGACGGTCTTATTTTCATCATTTAAAATTATTATAATTCAATTTTACAATACTTAATGCTAGGTTATTGGTATACAACAGAACGACTAAGAAAAACACATTAATTTTATCACCCTGAAATTTTAACACAATAATCTGCCCATTAGGGTGGTCCACTTTTTCAAAAATTTTTTGTAACTTGGGGGATCCATCGGAATCAGAAAGTTTGAGGTTTAAAATGAATTTTCCCGTAAACTAGAACTCAAAAAAATGATTTTAGATGATGTCAAAAAACGACATTACGAAAAATTGAAAAATCGAAAAGTGTATTAGTTTCTTCCAGGAAATGGCTAAGTAGAATCAACTATGGAAAAAATTGCACGAAACTATCTGATAGGTTTTTTTTCACCTTTCCAACGCCGGTTTCAGGAGTTAAAAATTCGCAAGATTCGCTGAGATACAGCTATTTTTGTACGATGCATTTTTTAGCTTAAATTCTGCTTCGCGGGTTTTTTAATGAATAGAGCTAGCTCAGAATTATTGAATTTTAAGCCTAAAAAATGCATCGTACGAAAATAGCTGTATCTCAGCGAATCTTGCGAATTTTCAACTTCTGAAACCGGCGTTGGAAAGGTGAGAAAAAAACCTATCAGATAATTTCATGCAATTTTTTCCATAGTTGATTCTACTTCTTCTTTCCTGGAAGAAACTAATACACTTTTCGATTTTTCAATTTTTCGTAATGTCGTTTTTTGGGATAAAGTTGTATTTTTCTGCATTAAAATAATTTCAAAGTTTATACTAATTTATACCATTGGATTCGTCATGAAAATCCTGCATTTTGGTGGTGTCAAAAAATTTTCTAGATTTTCCTGTTCATTTGCCACTCGCTCGAGAATGAACTTTGCGGAATTTGCGAAAAAGAACGATCGAAAAAGTGTATTTTTTTGAATGAAATTGTGCTCCTAGGTCAAAATTGACTACGGCATTCGATTCTGCAGACAAAAACACATAAGAAAATGTATTGTCAAGATTATTTTTACACTCTAAACAGAGTTTCAAATAAATCGAATGATAGCCCGATTTTGCTTCTTTTATGGAGCACGTTTTTAAAGTTCAAAAATCCATCGACACCATCTAAAATTATTTTTTTGAGTTCTAGTTTACGGGAAAATTCATTTTGAACCTCAAACTTTCTGATTCCGATGGATCCCCCGAAATACAAAAAATTTTTGAAAAAGTGGACCATCCTACTGCCCATGTTACTGCTCAGAATGAACTAGAATGAAAAAAATCGTCGTAATATTTTTGGAGATATAAACAATTTTCGAAAAAAAGTTCGATTTTCGAAAAAACGTTGCCATTCATTTATCTTTTAACCAATGATTTTCATTCTACTTCATTCTGGGTAGTAATATGGACAGATTATTTTGTTAACCCGTCTAATACCTAGTCGTTCGTTCTGGGCAGGTAAAGTGCCGATAAATGGAACGTATAGATGTGATATCGGTCCACGTTCTTACCTGAACTCTGTGTTTGGCATATCTCTCTAATTCAGCTAGAGTGCCAGATAAATCCTAAGTTCCATGTTCGCTTAGGTGTGTTATGTCCGGGCTATTTGTTAAATAATACCCGAACATTTATTTTAATCTAACTGCACCAAAATCTGAGATACACGTTTAAGGTTTGACACGAAACTTTTATTATAAAGTTTGCATATATAAAATGGACATTATATTTTTCGATACACTTTTAGTTATAATGTACCACGCGATTGGCTCAGCTGTAGCTCAATTACAAAAAAATAGGATAAGGTGTTAGCGCGTGAAGACCGCAAGATGTTAGTGCGTCTGTCTGCGAGAGCTGAGAGCCGACCGCCCGAGAGTACAAAGATGCGCGCTATATATAATAATTGTTTAATCCCGAATTACAGTGGGGCGATATTGGAAGATTATCCGAATTCGCGTAAGCTATCCCGTGACTAGCGCGTGGTATGATAAACCATAAATGACATCATTCTTTTATTACCCCTTATAATGACGTTATATCGAAAAACTCGAGGTCGAGAAACAGCATGACGAAATATATATAAGGTCAATAAAGTATGTATAAAAAGTCTCATTAAGATACGTCTTTTTATTATATTAAAAATAAATCGTTGAAAAAACATTTTTTTTTCAATTTGAAGGAGGGAAGTCCCCTTTTGAGGATCGTGTGTGGCGCTCCGAATGGCAAGTATGCATAATATACTGCCATGGCAGACGAGAGCAGCGTCACTCCACGCTCCTCATATACACAAGAAACGCGATTCAATAACATACAATTACATTTACTTGTAATTAATTATAAAATCTGACCTAGCAGAGATTGTATACAAAAAAAGGTAATAAATGAAAAAAGAACATTTCTTTTAATTAGTCATTTATTAATTATTTAGAATAACCAGGTACAAAAATCCGCGCGCGCAGGCG